AGAGTTGTGCAGCATGTTGGAAACTCTCAAGCCTTCAGCTGTTGACTGCAGTTAGTGCAAACACGGCCTCGATGGATGTGCAGCTGTGCTACTTGCCAGCACTTCCAGGTGCTGCTGGTTGCAGGATGGCCCTTTTTCAGCATCTGATGAAAAATTAAACACCCGCTTTTTTGGGAAGTGTTGTGTCTTCAACAAAAAGTTGTGTTTTCCCACTCTTCAGGTGGGACCACTTAGTGCTCAGCAGCTAAAGTCACCAAAACTTTCATCTGTGCCCCACGCATCCCAGCCTGGGCAGCTGCCTTTCCCTGCCCGTCCACCCGCACCCCGTGTGGAGGAGGGGTGCCAGGGCGGCAGGTGGGGGTCCTGGGTACGGGAGGGGGTGGGAATACCCTCCCAAGGCTCCTTTTATTAACAGCAGTTCTTGTGGAAACCTGTCAGCGACTACCTCCATGCCATCGGTGAGTTTTTCTTGGGCCACCATGACGACTTGTGTTTTTCAGATACTTGCCCCGTGACGGGCGCATTCCTCAGCCGCACCGCATCCACTCAGCCCCGGCTCACGCAGTAATTAGCCAAGTGTTTCCTGGCTGCCTTTAATTACAGCCACAACTATTTCCCTCAGTCTAATGTAACGCCTCTGAATGACAGCAAAGGTTTTGGGCCCCATCCCGCGCGGAGCGCGGTCCCAGCACGTGTTGGGACGCCGCTGTGCACCGGCAGCCGACGATTTGAACCTGAAGGGCTCATACCCCCTCAGTGAGTCACGTTTTTCGTTTTTGACCTCAAGTTCATAATTGCCCGCGCTGGGAATTAGCGGTGTCTGCCCGGCACCCAGCTGAGACATGGGGCGTTACAAACCAGCCAGAAGGGCACGATCCTCCTTAAATCTGTGTTTGAGTCCATCTCAGCCGGAATTCGCCCCATCTGTGGCAAAGCAGCTCAGCTGGCATGGGAGGAAAGTGCGAATCACCTTCCCGGCCACATCACGGTTGGTGCCCCAAAATTTTCATGCTGACGGCAGCGAGGCAGGCCATCCAGCCCTCCCGCGGGCAGCCCACGGCTCCTCGCCATGGGGGTCGCACGGCCTCGCAGGGCTGCGGCTTACAGCAGCGCCCAAAAGGACGAGCTTTTCCCCCCTGCACCTTGCTACCGCCGTCGCGGTTAGCCGACCTGGTGGTGGTGGTGTTGCCATGGCTGAAACCCGCCGTATTTCTGGTCGCAAGACGCGCCTTCAGCGGCTTCCAACCGGCTTGGAGGCTGCCAGAAACCGAGGCAGCAGCTGCCGGGCTCGGCCTCGCGAGGCTGTGATCTATAACGTGCATTGTCTTTTTATGTAATGTGTTTTATTAAACATCTTCTAAAGCTTACAAGTGTCCCCAGGACATAACTCTCCAGCGCAGCGTAATGCTTTGCCAAGTAATGAAGTATGATTTATGGTGGTAACGGTTATCCTATGTTGGTTTTTTTTTTTAAATTATTACAGCAATAGCTCTGTCGAATATAGGAATATAACATGCTGCATTTGGCACGTTTATGACAACAGTGCTCTGGTTTTCTTAACTCCACAGTTCGGTGTTGGCAGTATTTCAAATTCTTGAGACAGATGTTTAAATGAATTTTTTAAGAGGACAGTGAAATACTTTTAAAACATCATACGGCGCTGAGTGTCTCAATATGAGCAGGAACATTATTTCTTTAACATTCAGGTAGGGCAGGGCAGCACATGGCCTTTCTGGTTTAGATCTCACAGTAAATGATGGAAGTAGCAAATGTTGAATTAGCTTTCCCGGGGCATCCTGGCCTGTTGTTACTTTTTGGCTGAGGCAGCGGCGGGGGAACGGACGCTTGACCTTCTCCTGGATTTCGTTCGCATTCGCGTCTCGTTTGTGAGCAGTGAAAACAGATCCACATTTGTTTTGAATGCAGTTCCCACCATGTTGATACAGGACTAAGTGGTCTCACGCTGACATTTTGAGTGTGTCATTGTGGTCCCCGTGGTTAGGGTTTCAGGCCAGAAATGACAATCATTTGGAAAAATGTAAATGAGAACCCTGGTCACATATCTGCAAGGCAGATATAGTGTATTTCCAGCGAAACACTGAAAATTCTTGGGTTTTTAAAAAAAAAACACTTTTTTTTTTTTTTTTAGAGGTATTGGATAAAACTGAAGCAAGCAGCGTATTTAACAAAGCCGGGTATTGGGCTCTGGCATTGCTGTTTGCAACTTTCAACCACGGAAAATCAGAGCCCACAAAGGCAGAAGCCGGCATTGTTGGAGACATCATCGCCCTCGGCGTAGCGCGTGTTTGCGGCTGGGAGGGGAAGGCGCCCCGCAACGAGGCTGCCTGGGCAGTCGGTGCAGAGAGATTGAAGACAAGGGAAGCATCAGTAAAGCAATGAACACTTATATTTAATTTACATTTGACAATTTGCACATAAATAATGATGTAAACCAATACGTAAACATATGATAGTTTGTTGTTCTAGCAAAGTAAAAAGCCTGTTAACTTTGGTCAGAGTCTTTCTTAAGAGAGACAAAAAAAACCCCCAAAACACTGTTGATTGTTGCTACATTCACATGTAAAACTTCTAAGGGAAAGGGGAAACAGTAAAGAGAAGTAACAATTCTTAAAGCTGATGCATATAAATTCTTGTAAAATTTGTATCAAATACAAGAAAGCACTACAGGCAAATAATAGGAAAAGTGTGTGTCCAGTGACAGAGTAGTGATACTTTGGTTTATTCTACAAGTACTATATTTATGAACTATTGCTACATTTAAAAGATGTCAGCCTCACAATTTGCAGGAGTGGAAATGTAATGAACTGTAGTCCTTCAAAAGCTGTGTTGAGAGACTTGTATTTCAGCAACGTTTGGTTTGGTTTGCTTTTTAAATAGAAGGCATTTAAATGAAGTTTGCTGAAAAAAAGATCACCGAATCCTGGATTGCTGAAGTGGGGTATTTTAAAATTTGTAAGAATACAACCAGACAAAAAGATACACACAGAGGGGAGGTGTGTAATAATGCTACTTGTATTTATGCGAGCTGAGCGTGCAACTCGTTAACGGCAGGGTAAAACGAGGCGAGAGGCTCATTCCAGCTAAGTTCCACCCTGCCCTTCGCTGTGTTTTGTGAACACACGGGCACGGGTAATGCCTGGCTTCTTCCCAAGGTCTTTCAGTTACGTTTTCCGGCTGTTTGTTCACTGGCCGCCTGCTTCCTCCCCCCAGTACACGCTGCCGGTGGCGCGGGGGACCGACGACCCCTGTCCTGCCAACAGGGTCGTTCCCACCGAATTCGCTGCGACGCCACGTGTGGGTGACGCTATTTACGTACGGTGTTCGCAAGTTCAGGTGTCACACGGACAGCCGTGCATGCCTATGTGCAAGTGATAAATGCCTTAGTACAACCTTCTGGTTCTGAGGTCACCGGTAATATGCAAAACTGGATAACATTTGATTTTCACACTTAGATGAAAAATAGGTTTTATTACATGGTTTGGCTCACAACTTAAGTGGTATAAATATATATACATATACATATATAGTATAGTGGTATAAATATATCTATAAATATACATGTATTCTTTGCTACACCTCAAATGTCACCATACCATCTTTGGGCTTAGCAAAACAAAAAGATAAAAGGACGTGCATTCTGTCTTTCCCTGTGCACATTTTGGTTTCTTCTCTAAAGTAGCAAAGCATTTAGATAAAACAGCATTGTCTGCACCACTGGACACAAGCACTGAGGTAATTGTTGTTCAACAACTTTGCAATGCCCTTTTCTTCTTTAATTAAATTAACCACAAAATGTACAAACAACAAATACTGAGAAAAATCTGAGTCGTACAGGAAGGAGGCAAAAAAAAAAAAAAAGTATGTGCCAGGAAAGGACTTTGTTCCCCACTTCTACCCAGGCAAAGTGGGAGAAGAAAACACAAGTAAAACTGAGCCCCTTCTTTCTCAGGGAATCTGACCATCTTTTTTTTAATCCCTGGAAGGCTCTGGCCAAAAAAAAAAAAAAAAAAAAGAATAAAAAAAAAGAAAAAGGAGAAGAAAGAAGTCTGCCCAAACCCTCCTTTTAGGCAGAATATTAAGAATATTTGTGTGTTTGCTTTTAAACTGCTTTTGGAAACAAAAGAATGTGAGATTTTATTTTGGAAGAGCCACTTTAAGCTGATGCATTCCTTTGGTTATAAAGTTACGTGACAACGTGTGGGGCGATAGCTGTTTTCTAAAAACCTGTGGTATTGTGCACGGCAGGTAGGTGTTTGCTGTGCCACATCTGTTCTGGGTAGAGCTGCAGGCAGAAAAATCTCTCTCCTACCCTCGGAGAGGCAGGGGTAGCAGTTTCTTCTCTGCTTGCTGCTGCTCTGGGTTTTTGGGTTGTTGGGGTTTTTTTCCTTTTCAATTCCCAGTGGGGTGATTTGCACATAAAAGTACACAGCATTTTTTTCAAACCAACGGATCTAGGATTCTGTATGTCAAATGTCCAACTTTGGCAATACGAAAAACCACATTTGTTTAAAAGACATCAGTACATAAAAGACATTTACTGAAACCCCAATCTTAGGTTCTTAAAACAGATGTGCAGAAAAAAATATCTACAAAGAATGACCATAAAACAAAAAATAAAAACATTTAAAGTAAAAATTACAATGAATTTTCCAGTCATTGTAAACATTTTCCTAATTATTGCTTTTAGAATGATTAATTGCATAATAAATTATGAAGTACTATCATTGAAAAAATAATTATGGATAGATGATTGTCTTTTAGTAACTGGCGAGGCAATGCACAGTCCTTTGCCTCTTTTTATGCCCTGAGAAAACAGTAACTTTGGAGTTCCTTCTTTCAGCTGGAGCGCGTAGGGAAACTACTGTAAGCCAAGATCGCTTTGCAGCATTGAAACTATGTACAAGCAACTGCTACAGGCACCCTGACTTGCCAAGTCATAAATAAAAAAAAAAAAAAAAAATCACTTTTGCCAAAAAGTCTTAAGGGTCCATTGGTTCAACTGTTTCTTGCTTGACCTTTACAGGTAACAGAGGTAGTGGGTGACCGTGAGGCAACTTCATAATTGACATATCTGATGATTCGTAAAGGTTGCATCCTGAGGAGATAAGTCCATTTCCCAGGTTCCTCTGTAGAGATACTTTCAGATTAGCTCCTTCCATTTCCCTTCTGAGCATGGCCAGTATATCCTTCTCCACGATCGATGTTAAGTCGATATTGTCCTCCACTTCTTCCAACTTGTCAGCATTGTCACTGATGTCGAACTTCTCGATCTCCTCGTTGATTCGATTCAGGTCCTCCATGGAGAGGCCAGAGGCAGGGGCGACAGGGCAGTTGCCCTTCAGGTGGACCTGGAGGCTGCAGAGGTGAATGTAGCTCTTGTGGCAGTGGATGCATTTATGGGGACGTTCCCGAGTGTGGAGACGCTTGTGCAGCTTCAGGTGCACAAACTGGGTGAATTTGGCCGGGCAGAGCTTGCACTGGTAAGGCTTCTCTCCAGAGTGGAGCCGCAGGTGGTTGAACCGCTTGTGACAAACCTAACATGGGGGGTGGCAGAGAAACAGTGAATGAGTGGGAGGGGATTTTATGGTTTAAATCACAGACACCTAGGAGGAGACGGCAGGATGAAGCAGCAGCTTTTTATATCTTCACACTTTCTCACAAGGGGAAAAAAAAATCCCCACCTTTTTTATTTAAATATTGCTGAACAGCATTTTGAGTACGGCCGATGGCAAAACTGTACCAGGCAGACGTTGCTCTAGCAGACAACCCTGCCGTCTCACGGACGCTGCTGCACCAGGGCTGGAAATGGCTGCGATATGCGCTCCAGCCCTCAGCAGCCAGGGGTTTGTCGCACAGCCCTCCCCGCACGCTGTACGGGATGTGCATGGGCCCTGCTCTCCTTTCGGCCTCCCAGGGAAGCTGTCTCTGTGGTGTGTTACGTACCTGACACTCGTGGGGTTTTTCTCCCGTGTGTACCAGATAGTGCTTCTGGAGGTGAGCCAGCTGCGTGAAGCCTTTATTGCAAGTCTGGCATTTAAACGGTCTCTCTCCGCTGTGTACTCGGAGGTGCACCTAGGGAGAAACAATGCAATTAACAATTTGCAGTTTCCAGTACTGTAACAAAAGTACTTTCAGATGTTTCCTAAAGTTAGCGGAAGACTCCCATTGCCAAAATACAATGTTATCTAGTTAATTAGGTGGCGTCAGTATTGAAACGCTATCTTTACAACCATGCTTTCTTGCTGAGGGGTGACGGATTAAGCCCAGCCTGGTAAACAGCCTAACAACCAAGGGAGGCCTGTCCCTATTTTTCCTAGATAACCTATAGGGAGAAACCAGAGCCTTCCAAGAAGGCTTGGGTCTTATTCTCCACTGCATACCTTCAGATTGGAGAGCTGGCCAAAGGTCTTGGAGCAAACGTTGCATTCGTACTTGATCTTCCCATTCTGCTTCTTCAGTGGGTATGGAAGGGTTTTGTAACCGGTCACATTCCTCTTACTTTTAATAAGATTCATGGCTTCTTCACCGCCGGTGGCAGCCAACACCACTGAGGTAGGTTTAGGTTGCATTATGTGTTCTGAACTGGCTGCTGTACCAGCTGTGGGTGACCCGCTGGTGGGGCTGCATGGCTTGTCCTTCATGCTGGCAGCAGCGCCCGTGATAGAGAAGGCACTGTTAGGTGCTGGTATGAGGAAGTCTCTCGGATGATCAGGCTGCAGCAGTCGACGGCCTCCTTCACTGGGCAATGAACTGGGGAGCGTGGTAGGGTTCAACATGTGGTGGGAAAGGCTACCTCCGCTGACCAGGCTGCCATAAAGAGGATACATCCTTGGGAAGAGATTGAAATTGTTGATGCCATTGATATTGTTCAAAGCGCTCAGGTTATTACAGCTCATATTGAATGGAGGTAACAGGAATTTGGGGTAATGGGGGTTATAGGATGGTAGAAAGGCAGGTGGGAGGTGGCCAGGGGGTGCATATCCAGGATAAGACCCCAATCCTTCTGAGCCATACGATCCGTTCAAGTAAGAGTACGGCTCTCTGTGCTCTTGGGAAGTAGGTGCCAGAGGCGAAACTGTGACCCCTGGGCTGCTGTGAGGGCTTGAACTTTTTAAACTTTGGTCTGGGCTGCTCCTCCCGGAAGGACTCGGCGTAGTAGATGTCTGGATGGGCGAGTGAGTAATGTAGCTGGGTCTGTCCATCCCGTATGCTAAGGAAGCTTTCAGATAGTCTTCCGGAATGTGAGGTCGGATCGGGTAGACAACTCGAGGAAAGAAACACCTCTCCGGGCTATAGTTCTTACGCAAATCATCCAAGTCTTTTTCTGGAGTAACTGGTGAAATGTTGGTCTGGAAGAAGTCTTTTCCTTTTGGAGGATTGGATTCCATTTTCAGGATTTCTTTCACACTGTGCTCCTTCTTTGGGATGCTTTTCTGATAGAGCTCATCTTTATCAGCACTGTGCTGCTTTGGATTGACGTGGGTTTGTGCTGAAATACAAAGACAAGGTAATGATTATTTAGATATGCCACCATCATTATCTCTTCTCAAAACACAATCTAACTCCTACAGTTTAGTGAGAAGAAAGGGCCACTCTTAGAGATGAGCAATCATTTAACTCGCCAAAAACCTAATTTCTGTGTGAAGAAATGCCTGCTGGTCTTAAGTGCTAATAAAAAGCATTGTTATTTTAAGGGACGCCAACCCCTACATATAGATCTGGATGATGATTCATTTGCAGAGTGCTCGTCTCCACTTTGCAAACTGATTTCACCTTTCTTTCCCCTTAAATTTGACTAGCTTCACTGCTCAATGCCTACTTGAGCAGCATTTCTAATAAATGCAGTAACAAGCATTTGTTCACAATACAGGTTTAACAGAAGGACTTTGCAGAACGCAAGCTCCCAGAAATGTTCCTCAGTAAAATAACAAGGCATGACAAATCGGCTTTTGCCAAACCGCAGCAGTCACTTCACCAGCCAGTTCAATTACTTACAGTACCAAAAAACCCATGGCTGGCTAGGATGAAAGCCTTCTTCAAAGAGAAGGTATTCTCCATCAGTAAACAGATCATTACTCATTAAATATACTGCTTAGGAACATCTACAACAAAGCAGACTATTTACTGCAGATTTCTGTGGCATTCAGTCTATGCAAAACTCCTCTGCTTACAGCTGTACTTTATAAAAAAAAATGCTGAAGCAAAGCAAAAGAAAGCAAGACTGGTTGGCTCCAGCTTAAGTTGAAATGTACTTTCAAAAAAATAAAACGGCAAAAGAACTATGCATTTAGAAGGAAATAGAAGCTAGCATCCCTTTGGCCCAGTTCAGCACATACACTGTTTGTTTGTATTCAAAGACTCTACCTTGTTATCTGGACGTAATATAATATAAACAGTACACTGAAAGAGGTCTTCAATAGAAGAAGTCTGCTTTTATCTAATCTCACAAAGTTAATAGTTATATCATCTTGAAATGATGACTTGTGAGATGTTTTCTTATAGGGGAAAAATGACAAGAAGGTTTCGTATTTGTGGTTAGTTACGTGCAAGGTTTTCCATCAGGAGGTACAAGTCAATGCCGATAGGTATGTGACTTGCAAGTACTGCAGCCCTTTAGCCAAATTTCTGCTTTTGTGACTGTTCTTACTTCACTAACTGGGGTGAGAAACAGTGATTTCTGATTTTTGGAGGACCAGAGGAACCCAGCGGGGAAGATGGGAACCGGCAATGATCACACTGCTTTCAATGCAAATTCTTTGCTTCACTATTCACAACTCTGGAGGAATCTATCATTTGGCAACGTTAACCTATAAGGCAACAGAACAGCCGTTTATTTAATGTATCCAAGAAAACAGCTGTTTTCAAAGCATGTTCCTACTCACAGCGACCCACTTGTACAGTAGCATCCTTTTTCAAATGGCATTAGACTAGTAGCAAGCAAATTTAGTTCGAGATATGTGGGCAGTTTGTGTATTTTCAATTTGCAATGAAATGCACTTGAACACAGTTATGTTCAATTAAAATATTTATGATAAAACATCAGGCGTGTTGTACAGCAAGCACATACACACATAATCACACAGACAGCTTCCCAATTACTTCTCTTGATGTTAAAATTTTAATGCAGAGCTGTTTCAGAAATAAATTAATAGCGTGTTGCACTGCCTGGCATTAAAAATCCCCTATTTTCTTTTGTCATTTTGTCTGTACTCATGGACTGGTAACTCATTTCTCAGATTTTTGGGTATAACAGAGAGGTCCTACTAGGTTCAAGAAGCTTCACAATGGCACTGTGGATAATATTATCTACATCTTCTTATCAGCTGCCTGTCACCACACCAGCATCTCAGTGCAAACATTCCCGGTGACGCTATCAGCATCAGGAAGTATCAAGACCAAGAAGTATTGAAAGCTGGGCAGGGGGTGTGGGGGAAGCAGGACTTGTGAAGCCTTGCAGCAGAAAAAATAAATAAATACCACCTAATCAGGCCCGTATCAGTTTCTCAGTGGGGTCTGTCCAGCAGGAAGTTCAAACTGACACTTTTCTCTTTTAAAGAAAAAAAATCTGGGGGTTTGGGAAAGAGGAAGGTGAAGTGCTGGCGCTGCTGGAAAAGCGATAGAGAAACCAGGGCCGCTTCAGCTGGAGGAACGGCTCCTATTGTCACAAGGTTAAGCATCGGGTTGGGGTGGGGACGTACATGCCCTATGGGCCAGAGCAAGCCCGCAAGTGACAGAAAGGATGCTCCCACTAAGAACGTAACTTTCTTTGTGCAACAGACCCATGTCCCGACTTGACAGACTAAAGATAATTGTTCTTTCCTTCTCTTCAGAGTTCCCAGTAAAACCTCCCTTCCTACTAATTTCCATGCGTAGACAGATGTCGCAATATTTACAGATTTTTTTTCAAGTCTAACTGCGACAGCTCTCTTTAGTTTGCAAGCTATCTTTGGTCCATAAATCCCCCCTTAGCTTTTTCCCCTATTACCTGGGCACAAGGGACACTTGGGAAGACCAGACATCAAAGTATAAACAAGTGTGTCAGCATTGTGTAAAGTAAGAGAAGGGGCCAAGGAGAGGTTCTTATGTTTTATACTAAACGTGAATTTAAACCAGGGCTGAAACTGACTGAGAGGTTTACAGCCTTTCTTGTTGCTCTTAAAGGAGCCATACTTCAAAGTTAGAGAGATACATTTCTTATAAATTTTTTTTAACTTGTGATTTTAGATTTTAAGTTATTACTGATCGTAATGTTTCCCTCTCGCTCTTGAAATGCATTTCTCCCTGCCACCCCCATATACATGTATATACACTAAATATAGGCACATACTCTTCCAAGATCTGTCTAGTTTCTGTGGTCAGAGATACGTACAGAAAAGAGGTTCATGATAAAACAAGAACACTGCAGCTGCATTTCTAAGTTACTGATCTGAGGGGGCGGGGGGGAAAAGAAAGAAAAAAACCCAGACCTCCTCTTTAGGAGCCTGATCCACTTCTGACCAAGGTCAACAGATTATTTGCTCAGATTTGAGATTAGGGAGTGTGTGCAAGAGGAAAAGGGACAAAACTCCTGCTACTTTTAGGTATTAATAAAACTTGAGCGGAGGGGCTGCCTGAATTCACTCCAATGTGGGTGTTCCAGCTACAGACTGCTGCATAGCCGTAGGCTTTGCTCTCATTTCTTGGGCTCTGAGCTGTAGCCTGAGAAAGACTTCATAAAAACAATGATCAGGTTTTTCTAAAAACTTGAAAAACGGTTGTAGGCAGACAGTAATTTCAATAGTAATTTCAGGAGTGAGATGGTACTGAACCCTTCGAGTGGTGGAGCTTAATTATGCCAATTCACATTTTCGATCTAAATTAAGCACCTCTTTTGCTAGTAGAAAGAGAACCTCGAAGTTGTGAAGCAGGCAAAACAAAGAGTGTTTCCAGTCAAAATGAGAACGGAGACCAACATTTAGAAGTATATAATTTGATCATCTGTTTTCTAAACGTGTCCAAGGCAGGGTGACATGCCTTTGAAAACATTTTGCTCGGAGAAGGTCTTTAAGGGAGCCTTCAAATGATCCTCAATATTAAGTCAACTTTAGCACCCCAATTCTGGTTTTGTGAAGACAACCTTTCATATCAAAATCATTTTCCTGAGCCCTTTTGAAGATTCCAGGAGGCATTTTTAAAGCAAGTGCAGATGTTTCCTCTCAACCCAAACAGAAAAGCTTCAAAAGGAGAAAGTGAAACTGCCCATAAACAAAAGGGAAAGCGAGTGGCAGGGCTTAGCTAACGGCCAGCATGTCAGGGCTAGCAAGAAGAAGAAAAGAATAAATTACATTTAAGAAACAGCGTTAAAAAGTTAATCTTCACAGAATCTGAAAGATTTTAAACAATACTTCGTTAAACCTGTTAATGAAACAAAAAGATTGCCAAATGTTTTGTAAATGTGCAAACTGTCGTCCCCCCAACTCAAACTTTTTTTCTGAAGCTTGACCAAAAAGATGTCACCTGCCCGTACTTGACTGAGGAGACAAACACGGACATGAGCAGCAGGAAGTTGCATCATACGACTGCAATACATGAACATTATTATCAAATAGTCATGTCCTGAGTCAATGCAACTGTTTGGGTTTTTTTTTAATTTTTATTTAAAAAAACCCAAACTATTACCCTCTCCACCCTCCCTCCCAAAATAATCCCCCTACGATGGGGCAGGAATGAAATGCTAAACTATGTGGGATCCCTGAAGCAAACTTCCTTGGCCTGATTGCTAGTCCAAAAATAAAATATCACAGACTAAAAGACAATCTGAAGGCCCATGCGAATGAGGTTAAGCACATTTAACAAACTACCGAAAACTGATTTTTTGACCAGCAGAATACACAAATCTTGTGCCATCGCACTTAAAATCATTTACTGGACAACGGCACCATCTGAAGGTGACATATCTCAAATCTTGATAGAAAACAACATCAGTGGCCTCAAAAAAGGCAGGAAGGAGAAGGGAATTGTTTGAAATGAGACCGAGTTTCCACTGCTGGGATAACATGGAGCCTTGCCTCTACCACTATTGTGCAACTCCCTGCAGGCACTTCAACATCCACGCAAAGTTACATAGCTCCACTTGGAGCTAATCATGGCTGTGAAGGTAGGTGTGTGCTTCAGCATCTGAAGGACTGGGTCAAAGGCCCCAATTCAAGAAAACACAGAGGACAGGGTTAAACCCATAACTAAGTACATGCCTAATTGCTGTCTTGAATCTGGATGCTTTCCTTCTACAGCACAAATGAACTAATGCTGGAGAAGTTACCTTTAATTTGAAAGTTTGCTGTTACAGAGGCAAGTAGATGTTATATGTGGATGTGTAAATATATTTATGCTCTAAAGTGGTGGTTCTCTCATTTTTGAGGCCACTAATTACAGGAAATAAAGCCAGAGAAATTCTCTGATACATTTTTCCCCAGAGGCCCATCCCGCTCAGGTGCTTAAAGAGGAACTGAGGTGCTGAACTTCAAGACCGTGATCCCCAAGCCCCTGAGGCACCTAAAGCAGCTGCCTATATTTTAAGTTGCCAAGACTGAGGCCACACGGGAAGTTCTCCGTAGGTGTGTGTCCCAGGTGGCCTCTCCTGTGCCAGGCCTGGCAACCAGCCAAGACATAGCTCTTCCAAAGCCTCCTGCGGGCACCAGCATGCTTTGCACACCCAAGACGTGTGGGAGGGAGGGAGCTGGGTGCAACACACCATGGCCATGGGCTGGCAGTGCTGCTGCCCCACACTCATGCCAGTGCATGTTCCAGTGGGAGGGAGCCCTGACTTCAGCCTGCGGTGAGACCTGGACCCTGACTTCCCCCTCCTCTTCCTCAGAGGGTGCTAAAACCAGCAGCCAGGAGCTGGGAGAGGTGCCAATGCTCGCCTGCTCCTCCAAGGGAAGCCATGCCACTTTGAACACCGAATTATTAGTGATCCGTTTGGCTGGACAGGGCCTTCCTGACTTTCTAGAAGGTGGAGGAGGTGACCAGTGTGGGAGTCGCCCCAAGCAAGTCTGCATTAAGATGTTTTTGATGGGGCAAAGCCCCATGTCTGCAGCAGGTGCAGGGTGCTAGCTATCTGAGGACAAACATTCTGCACTTTATTCGTAGATGAACGTAGTATGAGGGCATCTTGGCCAGGCTTATGCTAGAGAGAGAGGCTGGAGAAGCTGCGGGATGCTCGCTGATTTCAGATTTAACTAGAAGTGGCCTGGGAGGAGGAGAAGAAGAAAACTGAATCATGCTGACATTCACTTTAAACTCATCTAGTTCCAGTACTAATGCTGGAAAAACCATCCCTGCTTGTGCTGTTGCTGCAGGGCCTTCAGCAAAAAAGCATCTTTGGGACATGTCTGGATTTTTTTGCGTACTTTTCAAAGAAGGGCACTGAAACTTTACAAAAACCTAATCCTTATGGTACCTGTAGGGTTTCTGGCCCAACTGCATGCCTTAGGCCTCAGTGTGTCTGTCACAAAGACAAGGGAAAAAGATTTTTAAATGTAAGTATTTTTTCTCATTTTTCTGAACTGCTATTTTCTTTAGGTGGAGGGGCCTAACATAAAATCTCTAAATGATTTAAACGGAATTACCTTTAAAAAGAAAAAGGGATATTTCACTCTCTTGCTCTTTTGAATGTTAAGGCTGAACTACACAATCGTTGCTCAAGAACCCATCTCTTTAAATCCGTATATTGAGCCTATTTGTACTAAAATGGATTATTTTGCACATGTCCAGACATCCCTAGTTTTGATCTGAGTAAGAGTAACCAGGTAATTAGTTGACACTTTACGAATACATTCCTCGCTGCTTCTGCAAAGCAACTTAAGATGCCAGCAGGTGCAGGAAACTGAGGCTGTGTTTGTGTATCCTCCAAGCCAGTGGCCAAATGTGTCTGGCTGGACCTTTGCAAACTCTCCTCATCCACAGGAACCCTTAATGCTGTTGTCTCTTCCCACCTACATGTCCCACTGAAAAGCCAACAGTTCATCATATCAGGAAATAAAACCGCACTGAGTGGTGAAATGATGTATGTGCAAAGATGACAGAATCAGTGAGATATTTTTTGAATACGGAATATAGCAGCATAGGACATCTCCTCCCTCTTCTTCCCTCTGCCATTAAAAGGATAAAGACCAAAAACTGGTGAAAGGATGACATCCATGGAGGACAGCTGTACTTTGGATTAATCTGAATGTGTGACATCATTTTCATGATGCAGGGTTACATATTAGCTCTAATGATCCCCAAAGTAACACTGATATTTTATAACCCATTATTTGTTGCCAACAAACAGCAAATAGTCCTTTTTATAAAAAAAAACTGCTTGCAGTTTTTCCTTCAAATTTCAGTGTAGACGCTGGCAGAAGGACAAAAGAATGCTCTGCTCTATCTCAGAGCAGCTAGCAGGAGGGGAGGCAGCTTACAAGTCAAATGAGAAGTCAGCAAGAATCTCTCCCTCTCTTCAAGGGGCTCTCGATGAGGTGCCAGGCAGTGATTAAGCTATGAGTAAAGTGCTGAGGCTGGAAATGGTCAGAAACCACAGAGGAACACAAGAGATAAACTCCTGGAAATACCTCTTCCCCCTGCTACCAGTGCTATTATTTTTGAACAGAAAACAAAAGCTGTGATATACAGCCAAGAAAGGGGGACAAAATACACTGAGCCTGAAAAACAAGTAACCAGATGAGAAGACCACAGGAGAAGATATCCCAGAAGATAAGTAAGCATAGATGCAACGCTTGAAGAGCATTATGCGGTCAACATACATTTTGTCAGACACCTAGACAGAGTCATGGCACATGGCCACTTCCTTGTACAGTGAGGGCAGCCCTTTGGGAGCATGACTGGACAGTCTTTAGTATATGCTATCAAAGCAGACTTCTGCTCAACGCACACAAGATCTGGACTTGGAAAGTCTGAGAGTGAGCTAACACCTACAGTTTTGAAGGCAGAGGATATATGCAGGTTGTCTGTCCACAATTTCATCAGAATTTCACTCAGACTGTAAACCAGTAACTGTTCACATTTTTTATAATCTGCTTACATTTGAATGGGCACAGGGAACTCATTCTGTTGTGTTGGGTTTTTTAATTCTCCTTTTCCACTCCACTGTGACATAACAGATGATGCAGCTATGTAATTATACAACTTATTATTAGATCATATAGGCAGAAGAGACATTACTAGCATTCCTTGTTTATACTGTAATCCACTTACTGAGGTTCATCATTGTCAGCTCTCTGGAGGAGGGATAGTGCAGCCTCTCTGCAAAGTCTCGGCAATACCACACAAGCAGCTCTTGGTTGGCAGGGATGGGCTTGATGGTGTAGAAGTAGATGTTCATTCCATTCTGACAAGCAGCCAAGTTCTGTTCCTGAACAGAGTAGCCAGGGTTTACATAACGCATCCAGTTGCTCTTGTCCTCGTTAAATCCGTCAATGAAGTGGTGAAGCTCACCACTGGAATAAATCTGGAATAAAGAGGAAGTGCCTATGAATATATATACATGCACAACACGCAACGCATGTGCATGGAGTCCAGAGGGGAAAAATTATAAGCCCCTCTTTTTTTTTTTTTTAAATGAGAAGATATTACTGAAATAAGATTCAAGCTGGGTTCCCCCCTTTCCAACTACAATATTCCCGGTGTTAAGAAAAGAGATGCTTATTCAAAGGTAAATCCAGTCACCTTTTCCATTTCTGCTTAGTCTGTGTCTCTGCTAGTATGGACAAAGCAGACCCAAAATCTGAAATGCAGAGTACTCTCCCTGCGTGAACAGTCCACCTCAGAGCCCTTTTCCTGGTGCTATGATCAACAAGTGGGTGATGCTAATGACTGCAGGTCTGAGTGCATGCTTGCATTAATGCTTTGAGTCACCTGTGTATAAGACTGACTGGCTGTGCTACGTCAGTCTTTCTCGCCTTTTTCTATGGCCTCTGTACTTGCAGTTTCCTACCACCTCCGCCCAAAGGTTTAAACTATGCAAACATCCTCCACCCCCCCCCGAGTCCTAAAGCAACACTTGCTCATAGTTGGACTGTAGCCCTTTTGTAGAAAGGCTGGGCGAGGCAAAGATGAACTTCACCTGCCATAACTTAACGAAGACCTGGAGAGGGGCCAGCCGATGAGAAGTCACTTTTCCTATCGAGGGACACGTTCTGGCTTGTCTACAGAGGGGAAAGAAAACATGAATCTAAAAACTGTTCAGCAGCTTGAGGGGAAAGAAGTCCCAGTCACTGACAGAAGCTACTGTTTCTTAAAGTGGTAAGAATAAGAGAATTATTAAAAAAAAAAAAAAAATCAAGAAAAATCCAGGAGACATGTTTGTTAAAGACACATCCCTTACTCTCGGAGGGAACTAGCTCCATGCTAGATGAAATGGGGTTCCTGGGTTTCGCAAAACAGATGACCGGGCAAAAGTGAGACCTTGAAGCAGGAGCAGCTTGCACCAGTGATGCACCTCGCTGAGCAGGAAATGCCTTTCCAAAGGGGAGACAGAGCTTATCTCAGGGGTAAAGCACTCCACAGCGTGTTCCTGCCTGCGTTCACACCACTGTCTTTCACACCTACCTGGCCGGGCAGTACGCCCCGTGAGCGCCTGCCAACCAGCTGGGACCTCTCCTCCCCAAAAGAGCCACCAGCAGAGAGGGGCAAGGCAGCCTGGCCCTTTAATGCGGGCCATAAACACCAGAATCACTTTCTTTAAGAGTAACTTCCTGTAAACTGAGAAGGGGGAAATACATGTGGCCTCATCAAAGCAGCTTGCGAGAGATTTTGTGGTGTGTTTGTTATGAGAAAATGGAAGGGAGCTGGGTGAATTGTGCTGCATCAAGAGGAGCCTTCAGGTTTTCTCTGCTCACCCCAGCTCACAAACTTCCAGGAACGCGGGACTCCGGCACTCGACGCCTGCCGCTGCTTCCCAAACTGGCCCTCCACAGCTCCCATGGCAGGGCCATGGATGCTACCAGTCACCACACGCTGGCTCCAGGGCGAAGGCATCCCACTGGGCTCCCACCTATTCTGGGGGTGGCGAGACCAGATGTGCTGAGTCATGGCGCAGTTCCCAGAAATGACGTTGGCCCCGGGCGGCCCTGCTCCCCTCACGCAGGCAAGGCGCAGGCAGCGTCCCCCCGCGCGCGCAGCAGATGTTCCTGCTCCTGCCAGCAAGCCCAGGATGCCTTTAATAACATGTGGGAAGTTATCTCCCACAATTTCCTTTGCATATGCAAGTCTGTTTCAGACCCCTAGGAAGGAATTCATTTTCAGCGCAGCAGCATGTCTTGAACGAATCAAGGGATTATAACAGGGAATTTAACGATGCTTAGATGGCTCCTAGGATATTATTTCCGAGGACCCCTCCCCATTACGGCTTAAAATCACATCATGAGAATGATGTCATCTTTCTTGCTGCAATATATGAATGAAGACCTGCAAGACAGTTAGCAGCCCTGTTTCCCAATGTTTGCCATCTTATTAGCAACTGGCAGGGCTAAGGCCGGCATACCAGTCTCCTCCTATGCCAGACACAAGCTCCTGAAAAATTTGGCTGAAAGAAACATTTTGTAGCCTTACAAATGTCAAAACAGTCACCTGCTTTATAAAAACACTCATGCAAACAACTGCCTGTGCAATGCTGTATTACATCGCATGAAGACAATCTAAGAAAACCAAAATGATGCAACTAGGTAGGAAGAAAGGGGTGTGGGGAAAGCTGGCGTTTGCCCTGGGTTTCACCTGGATATGAGGTTGGGATATTGCTAAGGCAGGCAGGCACCTGGGCACAGAGGCTTGGATATGCTCCCAAATCCACCGATTTAGACACAACCTAAATGGCTAGAAGGCAGCAAAACAAATGCATGGAAGGAGATGGGGCTGAAGGAATGTACTCTAACAATTAATAATGGGTCTGTAAAGGAGACTGAGGATTATGTCAACTGATAAACTGGAAGCATATTCCCCAGCACAGACTTCCCAAGCCAAAACAAATTAGCTGGTGTTCCCTTCCAGCTTATACTATCGAGTACAAATTAGGTATCATCTCTAGTGTCTGCCTGGCACTAATGGATTTTTCTCTTCACTAAGATCTATGGGCAGCTCTTTTAACACTGTCTGCAGTGGACTAGAAAAGCTTACAACTTGAATGCTATACACTGAAGACCACCACCACTGTGGTTCTAACCAAAATGCAGAAAAAATGTCACAAAATGTATCATAGTTCCAGATGATGGAGTACTTTCACAGCTTCTTCATAGCTGGAAAAATCAAGGATGCTTGACATTTGCATAAACTAAGAATGACTCTCCGCTGTGAAGAAACGTAACATAACCTGCCCCTACAGTAAGCAGCAGAACTATTTCTTTACAAAGTCAAGCCCCGATCCATTTCAGAAGACAGAGCCAGGAAGGGCTGTGCATCTCCCCTGCTCTCTCCACCCACACAGTGCCTACATCCAAGACAGCAAGATTTTTACTTGGCTTAGTTCACCACATGGGCTCTGTTCGTGCCTGGCAGCATACAGAAGTTGCCCCCTGCATTCACACAGGTCTGAAGCAGGAAATGACCCAGCTTCTCAGCTGCACTCATTTAGCTATCTGCTTACTGCAACAACATGGTGCTGTTTTTTCCTGCTTACCCGCCAAAAGTATTTTCTGTTCGCATTCTTGGGAACCGTATCGCTGGTATAGATCTCTCCTACCAGGGGTCCAAAGCGCGTTCCTTTTGGGATGTACTCTTTGCTTATAACTCCAGTGACCTACAAGAAGAGCAGCACAAGGTCAGTCCATCACCAGTAGAAATCGAAAAGTCTTCCTTCCTCTTCCCTGTCCCCCAAACTTAACAAGGTAAAGCAACCGATGCAAGAAATTTTTAGCGACAGGTCAGCAAAACAGAAATAAACTAACAGCCGTGTTGTATATGGTACCACTAGCTTTGTTAGACACTAGCACCTTACCGAGATGTATGGAAGCCAGAGATGAACACTGCCTGAAAAACGTGTTTTGTGGAAACACATTTACAAGAAGAAACAGTAAGTGAAAGGTACAGAGACTGTCAAATACCTTCAGAAGTTACTTCTCCTATCAAAAGCATCCCCCAAAAGTCTAGTTCCAGCAAACAAAACTATTCAATAGCTAGCAATCAATTCACTGCTACGGCTCACTTTTCTAATAAGTTACGAACTAGAATGACTGCTCCTCTAGATCAAAATGAAACCTCCTCCCTACCCCCACTTACGCTCTATACCCGTCCTGATAGCTAAAAGGAGAACAAAAAAAAAAGATGACCTACAATTCTCTCACCAGCATACAGTGGCATACAAAACAGAATATGAAATGGCTTTGGGACATGTACTCACAGATCACCCTCTTTTATAAAAAGAAGGCAGCAGTTCCGGTAACATATGTCAAGTGGGTTTGGTCAAAAAGGCGTAAGGGTTTTGATGAAAATGCTCCACTATGCTAGGTCTAAGAAATGTACTCTAGTTGTTCAGCTTCCTTCTTGACAGTAATTATACCAAAAAAAGTCACTGACCACAAATCAGGAAGCAATTCATCATTATTCAGAAGAACGTGCCTTGAAGTAACCCTTTGCAAAACATTGCTGAGTTATTGGTTTTGTCTCTCCCTGTCCCTCACCAATCTTCTTAATTTAATGTATCCAAACAATGTTAGAAACGCAAGAATTTTGTAAACCAAAAACCCCAAGCCTTTCCAAGTTTGATCCTGCTGCTCATATAGTAGGGAAAAAAAAAAAAGGAGGGCAAAAAGCCCATTAATTTTGTATTATAACCAAACTTTCATGGCAGAATGTATTAACTGCATCCCCTTCACATGCCTTGTCTTTTGCTGGCCGGGATTTCAGAACAAGACAGGAACAGAAGTGGTGGACGAACACCGAGAGTCGGGATTACTGCCGTCTGTACCCTGCAAGGAATCAATGTCCTTACCAAAGCAGATTAGCACTCAGACCCTGCAGATAGCTCACTTCAGTGAGCATTTCATTTTCTTCATAACAGTCCTTCACAGCAAAGGATGGTAAAAACCCCAGACTGTAGACCGCACTTCACAAATCAGCTAAGCCTTGTGATTTTTCTCATGCTACATTTTCTTCTGTTCTATCACCCTTGGTGTGAGAGACGGAGAGAGACAGACAGAGAAATACTTGCCTGTGTATTGGTCAAGATTAAAAATCCCAGTAAACGACTAACGCCTAGCGTAATTTCACCTTAAATGTCAAAATACAGGGGACAAATAACAGCTATGGAATCAGGGAGGTAATCCACCCGGAAACAGATTGCTGGGTGTACGTGGTGGCTGTTTGCGCTTGTCTGCGTTTCAACATGTGTTTCAGCACACTACAAAAAAACATTAAACGTCAACAGTAGAGGTAGTTAAATGCTCCATTGATCTGTGCATCTGGACTGAAGAGAGAGAAAAGGGACTTCCAGAAATTTTCCTACACCTACCACAAGCTGAAACAAGCTCAGTGGCCCAGTTTTATTTTTGTCTTGCTTGTACATTTCTCATAGAGAGCTGAAAAAGGCAGATGTTCTTCTCATCTTCCCTATATATCTTCATTTACATCCATCTGCCCTCTCAAGAAAAGTTCACAACCAAGCTAAGGCACACCCTACCAGTTTTAGTGCGTGATAGCTCCAATTTTTTCAGTTTTAAAATATCTTGGACATAATTAAAACGACTTTAATGAAATTCTCAGAATCTCTAGAAATCACTCCTCAAACTAGTCAACTTGAAACGCTCACCGAACTGCTGTCTCTGACACAGCAGATACTTTTTGATATCCACCTTACATGCAGTGTTTGCTTCTCCCCCGGCACAGCTGAACATGAAGACTACTTCTCACCCTGTACCCATCAGCAGGTTATTTTGGCAGAGGATGTTCTGCACGTCTGTGTGTGCTAACGCTGAAGTTTTGCTAAACCAGACTAAAGCTGTCCAGACGACTTTTAACCGAGGGTGGTGACTTTCTGGTCAGCAATTCTTGGCTTCTTCTTGTGCCCCCCCAAGCTCAGCTGCTGTGGTCGAGGAGGGCTACCTTCCCGGAGAGGGCTGCCAGCAGCACCCCTGCCGCAGCCTAAAGCGGGGGGAAGCGGGGGGGCAGCTTAACAGGAAGCCACAAAGGACAGAGCTGCCGAGGGCTTGTAGGCAAAGCCAGGGAAAGAACTCCACGTCCAGCACTGAGGGGAAGCCATCTCCAGACTGCCAAAAAGCAGAGCGGTGTTTCAGAGACCCCTCCACCAGGTGTCCTGCAGCAGGCTGCTGCCGCGGGGCGAAGGAGCCTTCCCAAAACTGCCTGGTGGCAGG